TTTCCTCATTACATCAGTTATCTGGCACAGTATTTAGTACTGTTTTTCAAAGCTTAGAGTCAATCCTATCTCTCCAGTTTGTCTAACAATCTGTGAGCCCAATATCATTTTCTGTTTAATTAACCAGAGTCAGATTCCACTGCTTATTAATAAAAACCCTCAATGATAAAGTTTGGATGCTTTTCAGGAACAAAATAAATGCCAGTGTGGCTTCAGGTTTCCCTCTAGCCAGAGTTTCCTACCTAGTAATATTGTTTCCTATAATTATTCATAATATGACTTTACTTTTCCATCTTTCCTTTTCCCTGGTTTTTTTCAAGACTTTTATCTTCTAAGTGTAACTCAGATGGATGTTAAGAAAACAAAATTAAAAAAAAAAAAAAAAAAGCCATTGTGGGTGTCTCTGTGTGGACAAACACATGATGACTATTCTCATCTGTCCTCTTCCCTGGTTTCTAGGTGCGTATCTGTTGGCTCAGGCCTGTGTTTCCTCCTGTCCCCAAGGCACATGGCCCTCCACACAGAGTGGGAGATGTGAGAGCTGTACAGAGGACTGTGCCTCTTGCTCTGAAGCCGATCTTTGCGAGAAGTGCCGGCTTCAGCCAGGCCACGCTCTCTTCCTCCATGAAGGCAGGTGCTACTCCAAGTGCCCTGAGTAAGTTTCCTTCTTCCTTTTACTTCCTGCTCACGTTCATTCTCCTGCGGTACTTTGGGACTGTTCCAGCCTGTTCATCAAATCCCTCTTCTCTGTGGTTAGAGCACCCACGCCAGTGTCCTCTGTTGACTGTCTGACACCGCTGTTGGCCACAGCAGCCAAAACTCACATGAGGCCAGATGCCTACTTCTTCTTTGTGATTATTCTATGCATATATTTCTACTTTTGTGAAAATATGTTTTTTTCCCCCACCTTTTATTAATGATCAAGTGTCGTCAGCTTTCCTTTCCTCCATCACCAAGGGCTGTGATATGAACCTCTTCTAAAGGTTTAAATAGGTGAGGTATGAATTACAGATAATAACACCTGGTTAATTACGTGTTGATTCCTCACGGTTTCCTCGGACCTCTGGTTTATAATTCCTTTACTCTTCCTACCAGTGAGCCACCTCCAGGATTGACCTAAAAGGTAAGTGGGAAATAGCAAATGGAAAAGTACATCAGGAAACTCTCAGCTGTAAACAGCAGAAAGACCAAGTACAATGACTGACACAGGAACAGGGCTTATTATCTCACAAAACAAAAAGGTTGGAAATCCACTGTTGATTCCTTCAGTGGCCAAGAAGGGGATCAAAACCCCAGTTTTTCCATTTTGCTCTTGTACGTTCCTTAGCTTGTCCTTCCCAGCTGCTCTTCCGCAGAGCCCACATTGTCTGCCTCAGCTCCAGACGTCAGCATCCATGCAGCCATGACCAGAGGGAAAGGGGAATTTTCTCCTTGTTCATCTCTCTGTCTCTCTCTTTTTCTTTTAAAGGACATCATCTTGCTCTGTCGTCAGAGTGTAGTGGCATGATCATAGCTCACTGCAGCCTCAAATTCCTGGGCTTAAGCGATTCTTCCATTTCAGCCTCCCAAGTAGCTAGGACCACAGGCACATGCCACCACGCCACCAAACATGGCTAATTTTTTATTTATTTTTTGTAGTGATGGGGTCTCACTATGTTGCCCAGGCTGGTCCCAAACTCTTGGCCTCAAGCAATCCTCCCTCCTCTGCCTCCCAAAGTGCTGGGATTACAGGAGTGAGCCACCTCGCCCAGCATGTTTATCGCTTTTTTAAGAGAAAAGAAAATTTCCTTAGACTTCCCTTCCAATCTCATCAGCCAGAATGCATCACTTACACTGTCCTAAACCAATCTCTGGCAAAAAGAATAGAAATATAAAGATTGGTTTAGGCTGCACAAGATTCATCCCTGAATACTCAAACATGATCATAACACTGACAGTCAGGATGGATGGAGAGAGGGAGGCGGGAAATAAGTTTGGGGAAGCAAACGACGGAGTCTATTTTAAGGAAGTAGAATTTTCATTTGCCCTCTGATCAGAAGAATTTGATGACAAAGACATCTATTTCCTAATGGCCTATTTGTATCCCTTTCTGAGATCGACCCTATAGAGCACAAACATAAGTCATGGTACTTACCCTCAAAAAGTGTCCCATCTGGTGTAGAAACACATTCAGTTCAACTATACAGATACATATTTGGCACCAGTTAGGTGTAAGAATTGATATTGATACAGTATCAATATATTGTATTGTGTATGCACAGCTCAGTGGACTCTATTCTTCTATCATTGATATCGGTATCCGTGTGGGAAGCAAAGTTAAGATCCACTGAAGGAAGTCTGAGCCTGCAAAAGGCTTACCCTCCAGTAAGGGAATTTTACACCAGGCAATGCCGTACTTGTCAGGGCCTTAATACACAAAGGGTTAAGAGATTCCAAGGGAAAAGAAATCATTTAAACACAGCTATTTTTTGAGTGCTTGTGGTGTTTAGGCATTGTGCGAAGGGCTTTAAATGTGCGATCCCGTTAATTCTCACAAGAATGCTCTTACGCACACATTATTATTTCCTCCCATTTTCTAGATGAGGAAGAGAATAGCACTCTCAATTTTACACAGCTAATACATGCTTTGGCCAGAATTTGAACCCAGATCTCTCTGGCACTGAAGTCATGTGCTTAAAAATCACTGCCTTCCTGTCCAGTTGGCTGTTTTTTTTTATCTTTATTGAGATATAATTCACATACCACACAATTCACCTGTAAAAATGTATGATTCAATAGGGTTTTTTTTAGCATATTCACAGAGTTATGCGACCATCACCACAGTCAAATTTGAACATTTTCATCACCCCAAAAAGAAATCCTGTGCCCTTTTAGCAGTTATTCCCATTTTTCCCCATCTCCCCCTGTTCTAGGCAACCGTTAATCTACTTTCTGTCTCTAACAATTTGTCCATTCTTGGACAGTGCATATCAGTGGAATCATACAAAATGTGGCCTTTGAGCCAGATGTGGTGGTGTGTGCCTGTAATCTCATCTGTTTGGGAGGCTGAGGTGGGAAGATCGCTCGATCCCAGGCGTTCAAGGCTAGCCTGGGCAGCATAGTGAGACCCCATCTCTGAAAACAAACAAACAAAAAAGACAACAACAACAAAAAACAAAATAATATTTGGTTTTTTGTGACTGGCTTCTTTTACTTAGCATAATGTTTTCAAGACTAATCCCCAGCTGGGTATTTAAGGAGAGGCTTAATGGTGACTGGCTCTTGCAGGATTTTGTCAAGCAGAGACTGGAGGAAGGGGAGGACAGGATCAGAGAAAGGAAACCCAGGGGGAGAAGACAGTCTGAGACACGAGTCAGGAAGCTCCCAGCCCTGCTTTCCTATCAACTATACCCAGCCCCAGCAAGGTCAGCAAAGAGTTAAAATAAAACAAAGGTAAAGGTTAGAAATCTACTTACCAAAGTCAATCTGTTACTTGACTATTAACCTTCGCCTGGTGGGATTGAACTGGTGGTTGTTATTTCCTTACTTATTTAATCATTACCGCCCTTTCCCAACTGTCTCTTGGATTCTCCAAATGCTCCAGGAATTGGCAATGCATTAAAACGAGATGCATTTTGCCTTCCTCCAGTTAGTTGACCCCTCGCATTTCTTTCCTCCAGATCTGGGTCGAACCACTAGGCAAATATGCAACGGCCAAGACATTTTGTCTTTTTTGAGCAGTAGGAAAGCTACTAGCATTATCTAAGCATGCTGCAGACCATAGAATTATAGGCATGTGCTCTCCTGTTATGGGAAGGGTCATCTGATTATTGTGGGGTCCCTCATCTTTGCGTTTACAAAAAAACAGAAGAGACAGGGTCTGAAGAACATATAACATCCAGGTTATCTTGGAAGGTTTTGTTGCTATTTCTGAGAAATCACCCTTTTGGGTGTGATCCATCCTAGAACGGCAGTAAGATTGATAACAGGAATGAAACCTGCAATGAAACAGCATCCAGGTATTCAGAGTTATTTGTAAGTCAGCATTAGTGGCCCCTGCTTTTTCAAATACAGTATGTGTTTATGCAAGAAAAAAGTTTGAATAGTAACGTATATCATAATAGTGGTTGTTTAAAAGGCAACAAAAAACTTAAGGTGTACTCAAACCCACCAACTCTGCACAGATTCGATGCTCTGGTGGAAGACCAGCAGTCTTCCTTTAAGCACTGCCTGTCACCGTGTAGGGTGTCTGTGAAACGTAGGTGAAACTCCAGGACCATACAGCGTTTGCATGACGTGTATTTATCTGGACCCAAAGGCTTCAGCATAAAGTACTTTGAATTTAACAATTTAATATATGCAGCATTTCTTTTCAGAAGAAACACTGGTCTTTTTAAACAAAAATAATTTTGAAATAAAACATTAACAAAATTTTTGCAGGTGCAGAGAGGGGACAGGAGGACAGACAACCGGGCAGATCTGTGTGGAGAAAGAACGCTGCTTTTAACAAAGCGGATCTTTGAAAATCACCTTCTCGTGTTCTTTTCTGGCTGTCGCCCGACAGTTTCTCATATTCACTTACTTTTGAGTTAGTGATCGTCTTTATTTGATAGTTTTATTTTTTTTTCCTTTTTGCTTGAATCCATTTTTTTCATTTCAGCATCTTATCTAACATCTGCCGACTCTCTTCCGAGAAGAATCTGAACAGGTTTCTTCATGTTGCATCTCTTCAAGCTCTGTACTAGAATTCACTGTCTTCAGTGTCCACAAACTATTCTCTGGAGGTCATGGCCAGGCCTACCACTGAAAATTCCCTGGGAGTCGGGCCGATATCACAAAGCCCGCATCCCTTAGTCACAGGGTGGGTCTTTCTGGCATGGCCCACCCCACCCTGAGTCCTCACATCACCAGCTATCAGGTGTGGTGAGAGGGGCCCATCATGAATGACAAAGACACGCCTATCACTAGGGGATTCCAAGGGTTTGGAGGCTGGCTGGGGAGAAAGGCCAGAACTCTCTTTGAGTGGAGCCAAGTTCTTTACTATTAATACACACATAGGAACAGCAGATCCATCAAATTTCCATTCAGTTAGAAGACGTAGCCTGTTTGAAAATGCACTAAATTTTCTTAATTTCAAATTTCTCAAATCCAGTCAAACTCCTGGTGAGCATATAACACATTTCTATCTACTGTCTTGTCAAACTCATTTTTAATTTTTTTTTTAGAGACAGAGTCTCGCTCTGTCACACAGGCTGAAGTGCAGTTACGCGATCATAGCTCACTGCAACCTTGAACTGCTGGGCTCAAGCCATCCTCCAGCTCTGTCTCCAGGTCACTGGGATTACAGGTGTGCACCACCATGCCTGGCTCAAATTAATTTCTTTTTTAAATTTTTTTTTATTTCAGCATATTATGAAGGTACAAATGGTTTAGGTTACATATATTGCCTTTGCCCACCTGAGTCAGACCTTCAAGCGTGTCCATCCCTCAGACGGGGATGGACACACCCATCAAATTCATTTTTAAGACATAGATTTAGTTTGGACAAAGTAGCTGAGTCTTTGTTCCTCAAATGTTCTCCAGCCTGGTCAAAAAAAGCTGAGGATACTAATGTGTGAGGAAGCCTGATCTTAGCTTTCATCTAGATACTATTTACTTCTACCTAAGCTGCTTTTT